CATCGACCAAATAGGTCAACTTGGTTTATGTCAGGGTAGTATTGTAGGGGCTGGAGTCCTTTGTGGTTCAGCCATGTGTTAACAAAAATCTTCCAGTTGTCTCGATCAAGTGCTGCGTCTTCCCAATAGGGGGGTGTTCCCAGGCCGCGCAGTTCCTCCCATTGCAGCTGAATATATCGGTAGGAGTTAGGCCAGTATCCCAGCTGGCGTCGAATTTTTTTCCAGTTATCTTTAAGCCAATGGGAGTCGCGAATGCGAAGGACAACACAAAGGGGGGCATGCCGGGAAAGATGGATCCAGGCCGCATGTCCCCAATACGACATAAAACTGACGGCATGTGCGCCCGCCCAAGACTGATGAGCAAGAAGTTGCGCGCACATACGACTCGCGCGTCGTCTGGACACCCAATTGGCAGAAGAGGTAAGGAAAGGATCAACCGCCAACCCAGCCAGGGAGGTGAGAAAAGTAGCATGCATGGAGGACAAAGCTTTACGCACAGCCGTTACAGGTCGTACACAAGGACTCATCCATCTCCATCGGGAAGTGACGTAAGTGTTAAGAAGGTGAAGACGTTTGCGCAAAGAAGCACAGGGACGGCGAAGGATTCTGTAATAGCCCCAAAAGGAGTTATTGGCCATAGAGAGGCGAGCAGCGAGAACGGTCTGGGAATTAAGATCAAAGCCCATGAGGACACCGAGAAACTTAAAAGCACGGACAGGGGAGATCGTGACACTACGGACACACAGGTCATGAGAAGGCAAGTCCGGAGAAACAATAAATTTGCACTTTTCTAATGCCAGGGAAAGCCCAATCGAAGCGAGGATATCGACTACATCCTCGAGTAGGCGACGCGCTTGCGAGTAGGATGTAGCTAAAAGAATAATATCATCTGCATATAGCAAATTAAAGAGCTTCGTCGTGACCCCATCTGGTCCAGTAGATTTAATCCAGGCGTCCATCGACAAGCCCCAGCGGGTACACATAAAGCCCAGGAAATGATCTAAAGTCCGACCGAAGATCTCTGCGCTATAGCTAGACCCCTGCAATAACCCGCGAAAAAGTTTCTGTTGCCAGGATTCTCCACCAATTCCAAGGACGACACGAGAGAGAGTAATGATTTTTAGTAGGAGAAAGGACTCAACTTTACCGCCAAGGAGGGCAAGAAAACTGGCAACAGAATCGTGCGACAAATGGTCGAACGCCGAAGAGATGTCGAGTTTAATTGCGATTAAAGGCAGCTTGTATTCCTGTGAAAGATGAATTACATGCTGAAGGCAGGCCGAGCCGTCTAAAGTTTGCGAGCCCTTAATGCAGGCCATCTGGTTAGCAGAGGGAGATGGAAAGAAAGGGCGAAGGCGAGTGAGAAGAATCTTGGTAAAGAGCTTGGAAGGTGTGGAGGAAAGAACGATGGGACGGAGGTGTTTGGGGATAGAGGGGCAAGGGATTTTGGGAATGAAGGTGAGACGGCTGAGAAGCCAAGATGGGGGGATTGCAACTGTCTGAAAAAGGATGGAATTAAAAAGGTCAACAAGATGAACGCCGAGGTCAGTCAAAGTGAGAGTCTGGAGAAACTCGTACGAGATTCCGTCTTCACCGCACGACTTACCGGCCTTGCAGGTAGAAAGAACAGCATTGACTTCGTCAAGGGTGATGAGGGCAGGCTTCTCGAAGCGAGGGACACGAGCGAGGAAAACATCCATGGGGGGGACCAAGGGTGGTGTCTCGGGAGTGTATTTAAGTTTGTAAAAACGCTTAAGTTCCTGCACGGCCTGGGAAGTCCCCCCTGCTCTTGCTATGTAGTTGCTGTGCATGGTAACAACACTCTGCCGTCGTCTGAAGTACGCAATGGCCCCGAAATCACCCTGGGCCCCTTTGTCAAGAAGATCAACCAGCCAAGCCGACTTAGCTGCACTTCTGGCCCTCAGGATGTCCTTGCCCAAGAGACGGGCTTCAGGCCCAACGAGGCGTCGTCTCTGCGCGATTAGTTCTCTGATGTGAGGGGGATCCGTGTATCTGTAGCTTTTGGGCCTAAAGCTTACGGAGTCCGACAGCTTCTGAAGGTCCTGAATGGTAAAATCCTGACCTCGAAGTTCATGGTGTTCTGCCAGGGCGGAGGCTTCTTGGAGCAGTTTGGGGGCATCAATTCGCCACTGGCCACAGCGGTTCTTATGTCGCTTTTGACGCTTACCGGGGGCTCGGGGCGGGTCAAAGGATCTAAAACAGGCAGATACAGCTCTATGATCACAACCTAGGAGGAAGTCTGTATGGGCATGAACTTGTTGGGAGAGGAGTTCATGGGACGGGGTGGACACAAGGATGAAATCAATCTTAGACTCAGAACCCCGTTGGTTACTCCAGGTGTAGATATCAGGTTGGGTGACAAGCAGGCTGTGTTGCTGGACCAGACCGGCGGCCAAAAAACTGCGTTCATCCGAGTTATTAGGATCCATGTGGAATTCAACCTCCCCTAATTCATAATTGGCATCAAGCAGAAGCACGAGGTTATCGTGAATTCGTTTTCTTGCAAGCAGAGCATCTAATTCCGAATTAAAAATGTGCCATGTATCCAAACAGTCAGCCCTGTGTGAATGTGGAAGGTGAGCAGAAATGACAAAGGTGCGGATTCCCCCTTTCTTTAAGGTAACAGCTACTCCGCAGCTAAGCGGGGAAACTTCTCAACGAAAGGGATGCGCCTAGGATGTAGGCCAAGTGAAACAGCCCTGAAGGCCAAGGGGGGGTTGCAGGTGTAGAAGCCCCATTGGCCATCAAGTTTAGCTTCCAGCACCTGCCACGGCGGTTGAAGGTCTTTTTGTCCCCCAAGTTCTTGCAAACCCAAAAAGTCAAGTCCATCTAGGCCTAGCTCCGACCAAGCATTTTCAAGATCAGAAAGCTTTTTGCCTTGGATGTTCCAGCTAGATGCATAAATTAGAGAGTGTTTACTGGCCTGTGGGAGTCATTCCCTCTGGGAACGACTTGCAGGCCCATGTTTGTCCCAGGCGTCCTGAAGGTCCTCGGGTGATCTTCCAGTGAGCTCGGAGAAAGGCTTCGAAAGTAGATACCATTCGAGGTGGTTGCCGCGCGAATCGCTTAGCAGGAAGTCGTTCACCGACGGCTCGCCGTCGCGGTGAATGTTTCCTAACAGTTGGTGGCGGCCTATATAGACCGTTCCTGTCCAAATTATGTCGATGTTATGCGAAGCGAAGGGTTTTCCTTTGGCGGGGTCAACATGCGGCAAATTGGAGTAAAACTCCTTGGTTAATACTATGGCTCTGGTTTTGAGACGCTCCTCTGGGGTTTTGCTGCGTGTTGCCCAAAGGACTTTCTGCTCGCTACCGGGGATACCGCTGAGGTATTGCTTGGATTTGAGCCGGTCAATAAGCTCCTTCTGTTTGCTGCGCTTGGCCCCAAGGCTCATGGGTTTGGCGGGATCGAAAAGTATGCGAAGCTTGACAAAGCTGGTCCTACTGTATGGAGCCCAGATTTCCTCAACCTGCTCAAGAATCTGCGCGTCTTTGAGGAGATTACGCGTTTCTTCGATAGCATCGTCGCGCCTAGCGTCAGTCCAACCCCCTATGACAATGTCAAAGTCCGGCTCATCATCGGCGAAGTCGTCTCTCTCGGATGGGAAGGAAGTGTGACGGGGCGAGCGGGGGGAGCGAGGAGACCTCGACCCGCTTCTGTAGGCATGTGAGTTCCGGGGCGAGCGGGAAAGCGCATCATGGCTAGCTTGTAATTCCGCAATCTTATTTTCCAGAGTACGTAGCTTCACATCTGTGTTGTCATGTCGGGCAAGATGTTCAGAGGCGACCCCTTCAAGTTGCGAGATCCTAGTTCCATGGTTCTGCAACCCAACAGAAATGTCGGCATACTGCTGATCTGCTTTAGTCGGCAGGGTTATGGGCAAGAGGGTTGCCCCTCTTGCCCGCCCGCCGTCGGTGCCCCCGACCATTGCGGAGGGCAGCTGTGAGATGCGAACACACCATAGCGTCAACTTTCCCACATGACGTGGTATCGGTGGCCACATCGAGGGACACCAAAGTCCGTAGGAAAATGTTCTCTCTCTCTCTCTCTCTCTCCTGGGCATGGGGACGGGTCAGCGTCCCCGGGCTGAATAGCCCACCCAACTTATTGTTGGGAACCGGGGAGTGAAAGACGAATATAGGTCACAGCAAGGCTCATGCCATATAAATGTTCTCCTTCTTTCAGCATGGTTAGGGGCAGAGAGGTTTCCCCCTCTGCCTGTTCTCTCTCTATCTCTCTCACTCTCTCGCTGCCTGGAGATTATGGGAGGTCTATGGAGGTCAACAAAAGATTTTGTCCAAGAGATAGACAGAACGGTATGATGCAATCTGGTCAGTTCTTGCCCAATCCTGAAACATCCTTCTTCATGCAGTAACTGTCTCGAGCTTCGGCATGAGCATTTCCCCTTCGGTTCTCAAGGAGAAGCAAAGAGAAGATCGCCAGGTTTAGAGACATACGGACGACGGACGGATTTCTCTTGGTGTTCGGAGTGCTTGAAGGAGTGCAACATAACGGCTTGAGCACCCTCTTTACCGCGCAAGGGCGTATTGCTTGATGCAGCACAAAACCGCTGCAGGCACTTGTTGCTGTGATTGCACATCTCCTGGTCAGCACCCTTGTTGCCCTAGTTTTCCTCCCACTCTCGCCCTCGTTTGCCGCAAAGCGACTATCGCGCACAGGACGACAATCGCGTTTCAACGACTGGCAAGTAAGTATAGTGCGTAGGGGTGGTGGTAGCCTAAACTTTCTTTGCATTCTAACTCCCACTTCGCCCTATAGAGCCGCTTCCCCTCCGCCTCAAGATCGTCTCGGCGGCTCTGCTCCATGCCTGCCAGGAAAGCCGAGAGATCGATGTACGAGTACAACGAGGTGCAAGCATAGCAAAAGGTGCCGCTAAAGGCCAGCCAGTCGACACGCAAGCGTTGCATCTTTTTGCCCCGCTCCTCTCCCTCTGCCTACACACTGTGCCGGTTCACGGCTCAGAAGCCAAGGTAGAAGCCGAAGGTCGTGTTTTTGAGAACGTAATCAATAAGAACCCAGGCGAAAAATAGCACCGCCAGGGTGGGCAGCAGGTCGAATCCAAAGATCTTCCGAAACCTCAGAAGCCACGATCTGTGAAAGCCGGTGCCGGGAAGCCATGCCGAACCACCGAATCCTGGAAGCAGAAACCACTTAAAGCCCAAAGCCTCTGAAAGTGAGTTGCACCCGCAAAGCCCCGGAAGCCGTGCAGGTGACTCAAAGCTGGCTTGCCGAGTGATGTCGTTGACCACCTCACTCGTCCGGCTCACTTTCTCTGCCGCCTGCAACAGTTGGGCTTCTAAAAAAAGCAGGCTTAGTAGGGTTTGGGAGTGTTCGGTTTTGGGCTCTGGAAACGTTTTTGTTGCATCCAGGCCTCTGAGCAGTCTGGCCGGGGAAGGGCAATCGCGAAACCCCAAAACCTAAGTTCTTTGTGGCTTCATCGCCTCTTCCACAGAAGCCAGCTCGATCTTCGGCTGCCTCGGTAGGTTCTTCAGCTGTTTAGATGCTCGCGACTCGGACACTCCAGGTGAGGCTGTTCGGTTGGCAGAGGGACTGAATTAAGACTCAGGGAGTGGGATCCCAGACAGGCCGCGTCGGCCTCGAAGTTCATTCAGCTGGCCTTGGGCTAGCCTCGCACTCTCCCCTGCCAACACCTAGTACACCCAATCCAGTATCATGCAGCCACAAGCTACTCACTCACCATCCAGAGCAACAAAACTGCATCCGAGCTGTTAGGCTGTTTTTTGTCCACCCGCTTCGCTGATCAAGTCGTTCAGCTGTTTTTTTTTCCAGGCCTCGGGTTCACCAATAACGCCTTTGTTGACATACACAACTACTGCCCTGCAGGGCAGCTCGATACGAGTCTGGTGTCGGGCAGGACCAACTGGCACCCCCAAGTTGCCACAGACCCTCTACAACCTTGACTCTAACCTCGCATATATGCCTTGTCTGGCCAAGCTACTTATCTTCCTCGTCGCCGCCGTCCCCTCCTCCCTTGGGCGGAGGAATTGCTGCAGCATGCCTGCTTATCAAGATGTCGGTTCTTGTGGCTATGTCATTCGGCTGTGATTTTTGCTTCGCTGGTTGCTAGGCAGCAGCTTAGCAACAACTTCTTCCTTGCACTCGTACCACGCGTCAACAACATCAACAGCACCATCATCATTCCATTACCAGCATCATCTCCCCTTTACTACCGCCACTCAATGTCGAGCTTTCCGGCTACTTCCATGCTCACGCTCAGCACACCGGTAGACATGCACGTCGATCAACCTTCTCCTGAGCTGGCAAACTCTTTTAGATTTTATGTTTCTACGGAAATGGCGCAGCCAACCACGAGGCGGCACAGGTCGAGTCTATTCAGTGACCACCTGGGTCAGCACTTTGTCAAACATCCAGCCTGATGACCAGCGCGGCACCGGCAGGTCTCTCTGGTCCAGCCCTTGATGCTATCAGGACTCTTCTGAGAAAATATTATCTCTCTGGGGCACTGCGGAGTTGCTGCTCAGGAACAACAACAGAAAATACAAAAGCACGGGCCCGAGATTCAGAGTCCGTCGCGTCGGTGCTGCGAATGCCTGTAAAGCCTGAAAAATGTTCACAATCTGGACTTACCCCACAAAAGCTCGGAGAGAGTCAGCAAACAGAATCCGAAGCGTGGAACCCAAGCAAATGCGACCCGGCTTGTCCTCCGTCAGCACAGCCAGGGCTGCCGCGGCTATCAGCGCAACCCGTGCAGCCCGCGAGGAACGTGCACTCACAGCTCTCTGCATCCGACTGGATCCCACGGCCATGGCTCTGGAGCTCACTCGATTACGCAGGCACTTCCGAATGAGCTCTGGCTGAGTACAAACAGGGTGCCGGGAAATCGAAGCCCCTGGAGTTGATCTCGACTTCCATGGTGCAGTTGCAAGCTCAGGGCAGGAAATGGCACACAGGCGCACGGAGCCTCCAAGGCATGAAGACCGGCGATCGGCAACTAAGAGCACCCGGACATCTGGGCCCTCTATATATCCCTCTCCACTGTTTGGAACTCGATGGGCCATGATGCGCCCTTGCTGCCAGGATGAAAACACGTGTACTCGCACACAACTGTTCC